GGGCTGGCATGCGTAACACGTGGCTGAGCCATCGGAGTCTGGTGCGTGAAATAACGGTGCTGAGAGGTTCATTTCCTTTTCCTGTGTCGTAAACAAGTCGTCGAATACGTTCGTTGCTCACGCGGTGTTCCCACCAGATGTGAGCTAATTTGCCAAGGCAAATGCTGATGCGGGTTCACGGAGGAATCCTGGTTACTACCCGAAAATTTACAATACGGAAATTTGTTTCTCCATCGTCCGTGCGGGGATTTTGTTCAATCATCGCAGACTTGAGTTTCTCTCTGTCTGCTGGGTCTAAGTCAGCGTGCACGTGGATCTTTATACCTTTCAGCCTATTAAGGCGGGACAATATTAACATAGGACTGGCCTCCTCCACAAAAGTCACCCTCATAGGTCGACTTTTTCCCTCGGTTCGCTTTCCTAGACGACCGATCTGTTTCACTTTATGCCCGCTCTCATCTACGTCGAGCAGTCTATCAATCGGGGTTTGCAAAAACTCGACATCATGTTCATAGCGCACCTGAGGATTAGAATCACATGATTCAGGTGCGTGAAAGCCCATGAGGCTGCGGTGTTTCAGGTCGCTGAACAGTGTTCTTGGTTTCTTTGTTATTTGCATTTTCCATACATTATCACCAAATTGCTTGTTGCAAATTAGAGCTATAGTGTCAACTGAAGAAATCGTAAGCCTTGAAGGCGAGCCTGCCGGAACGCTAGTACTTTGCTCCAGGGATAGATTCGCAGTGGTACTAAGTGCTGACTGTTTCTCTGTGGTGTAGGACAAATCCAGGTGCGCGTTTTAGCGCACTTCGCTCTACTGATCCGCTTCTCAAGCTTTTCGGCTCCATTCTGCCCAAATTTGGACTGACATTGCTTACAAATGGCCTACAAAAATCGTGCTGAATCCCTTGAATTACGCGAAATTGGTCCACAGACAGATCAACGCAAGAAATATGCAACTTTATGATGCATAAACTGCATGTAATCGTTTTTGCGCGATGTCAACGACTTTGGAACAAGTACCCAATGTGTCTGCTTTGCCATTTCAAAAATAGGCACCGATGGATAGCAGTAAATCACCGTAATATAGAATCACAGAAATTTTAATAAACTAGTACAGGTAGTTATGATGAACTAAATCCAAATAACTAAGTTGAGTGAATTATACCAATATTTCTAGCATAAAACGACTCTAAAAGTGAAAAGAACGAGATAAACTGGCCTGAGGAGGATACCAGCAAAATACGACCGGGACGGACGCTGTGGATAGGGTTGTCTACCTGAAAAGCTGCATCACTGCTGATAGAACTGCTGGGGATGAGATTTCGATGCGTATCTCAAATGCTCGTTTCGCTGTCTCTAGGCGTCTCAAACTACTTCCACTCTAGCGGTTAGTGTTCACGTAGAGACTGCTATCCGAATTTTCATAGATAAATAAGATGTACATTCTGCAGTGCCTGAAGCATGAACTCCTAAATTTAGCAAAGTCATGTACAGATGTGTCGCGTTCACTACATATATTTGGAAATGCATTTGACGATGGTTACAAAAGAGAAGAGAAATACGTTCTGTTGTCTCACAATCCACTGGTGGGGGATTGTAACCTATCTTGTCATGACAACAAATTACGGATTGGATGAATTTGTCATTTGGAAGCATTCCTTGTGTCTATGGGTTGCACAGGGAAAGGCCAATGTGGACGGCGATTCGCATTTAAGTGAACCCTGGTCATTTCAATCACCCGGACCGTAATTGATGAGACTAATGAATATTGAGTTTTGCCTGCTAGGGTTAGTTCCCACTAACATCCCAATGGCCTCGGACTCTGGTGCCAGCTAGTTTCATCTGATGAAATAAAATAAGGTCTAAACGCACCGTGAAGTGCAATGTTTTCGGGCAGGCAACACCCAATTACCTTCTGTTCCATCTACGAACTTGATGATTGAATTGACTAAGGTTCACTCACTTCAGTGCAACTCGCCATTCACATTACGATTGCACGTCGTAATGCAGTCACACGAGTAATTCCATATGTCCTTCCAATCAGTCAGTAACCGGTGTGACAAGCGTTACCCGTTGTGGCCGAACGGCTTATGAATAGAGGTTTAGATTAACATCCCATTGGCCTCGGTCACGATGCCTGCCATCACTAATTGATGTGTGACATCGAGCGGGCAACAACCAGTATACAATGTGCACAAAGCTTTCGCGAATAATGACATTAACAAAGCTTTAACTGGTAAACAACTGCTGAGATGATGCCGGGACGGAACATTTTAGCCACGGGAAAGTGTGTTGGTGCACTGGCCTCTGCCAACTTGCTCTCCGAGTGTATGATGCTTTGTGTACGATCAGAAAAATAAACATTCTAGATGACCAATACGTGGCGTTTCATAGGCGCAACATTTGTCATTTTTCCGCCGTCGGAAGTAAAACAATCCAGTATTGAATGCATCAGCCAATGACTTAGTCATGATCCCGCGAAGCTGTGATGTTTTTTCATGAAACTTCACAGATGCCCATCTTTGAATGGCTGTTGCCGTCCAGCGCATCTTCCCTGCTGTCACAAACAGACACACACACTCAAATCCAGTAGCAGTTTCGACAAAGTCCGAGCACCAAATGACAACATGTGGTAGCTGCTTATAGTATGGATAACGGATACCGTCTCTTCGATTTCATCCAAAATGTCTGCATATCTCTGACATGCATATACAATGCATGTGTCATGGGCCAAGGGAATAGCGACATATTTATGAATGCTTACGTTGGATAGGATGGGAGTGTTTGGCATTTAAGGAAGCTACCTATGGGACTCCTCTGACATATGGGTATGTGCACTCATTTGCCATACTGCGGATTTCCTGAAATACCGATTATTTTGCAAAATATTTCACACAATCTGCATGCAGATTTTAAATTCTATGCCCCACTCTATTTCTAAACCAGGTTGAAAATGGTAAGACGGATGTTGCAATTCGACGGATAGTGTTTCACGCTAAACCATATGTCATGTAATGCGTAAGAACGAAACTGTGTTGTGTCATGATTGACAACGTTTATTTGTCTTTTGTAAACGTGAACATTGCAAAACTGCGGGTGCCAAGGCGACTGCTCATTGTGCCACTATGCGGAATCCATAGTAGGAATAATGTCCCCGATTGATGGACACAGTGAAACTTTTGCATACATCCCCAGTGAGCCCGAAACTGGTACGAAACTCTTTGTTTTCGCCATCTCTTCAGGTGCCTTGTAGTTATGGTTTGGGCATGCGGTTGTGTCATGCGTTCATTGTTTCAACATACTGTATGTGCATGTCTGTAGTGCATTTTATCAGCGCAACCAACAATGAAGCGTCCAAAGTAAACAAGCCTGTCCGTTGAACGAGGGCAAACGACCACAGTGCCCACCAATTTCTTAGATTTTGTGACGGACTGCTATGGTTGACACTGTGGACGAGAACAAACTGGGTGCATTGCAACAAGCCGATGCATTCGACAGCATTTCGCCATGAATAAGCTGTGCCAGTTACCGGTACTGCCACCATACACACAAGTTCCACCTACGGTCACGTTTGCACTAAGTCATAAAGCGAAATTTGAACGACAAACATTGCATTAACTGTTGAGAAACCGTAACGACACGGTAGAAAATCAGAGATGGAGCGATGTATAACGTAAGTCTGCGGACTCAGATGCAGATATCACCATGTCTGGTAACGCGGTTCAGCCAAATGGCCTAAAATGCATATACAGGAATGGTTATCTAATGGCCACAATTTACAGCTTCAGGTGTATGAAATGATTCAATTCGAAGGCGCTCTGAATAAAGCAACTGTTGAACTGGTAATTCTACTCATTTCCGGCAAAGATGTGAGAACAAGAGCCGCTCTTTATAAGAATCAGCAGCATGCATAATTTTGTAAAAAAAGGGGCAATTCAATTTAATATGAAGCAGTGCCAATTTAACCAACTGCAACACACTATGGTCGGCACGCAGCGCATACAAGATGGGACATTCAAAGCAAACAAATGAAACCAGTTTGCAACGTGCATCAATTTGAGTAGATGGAAGAAGATACGTTTAGTACTTGCAAATGGAATACTTAATGAACCCCCCCCACACACACACATCAGCACCGACTCATTGACATTTCCTCATGGAAAGCACAGCGTAGTGTGAAGCATAAGGCGATTTGAAATTCTGTCTTTCAGCTAAGTAATGGGATGTACCAATAGATAACGCTTCTCTGTGTCATAGAAAATCAAAATTTCTCTTTTTATGACTTCCTGTTATCGCGCTGTATATCCTGTGGTCACCATTTGGATAAGTCCAGATTTCAAACCTTAGCAAGCAGGCTTGACTACTCAAAACGTTTGACCTGTCAACCCAAAGACCATCAACTTGTACCGTGTAACAAGAGATGTGACATAACCCAAGACTTTATATGCCTAACTGAGTAGTTAAAGGGGAGGACTACCTTGACGCGCGTCCAGAAGAACGCCATGTCTTGTGGGTACACTATACCACTTGATGCACCGTGTACCAGTTCCGAGATGGTTCAGTATCGGCCGCAGACTCCACATACGGTGTGTTCACCAAGTTTTCTCCGGGGGAAAGCGATGAACACGGGGAAGAAATCTAGCATAAGAAGGCAAATGATTGTTTGTTCTTTTTCAACCGTTTCCAACATATCTTTCTACAAAATGTAGCACTCACTCCTAGAAATTGTGCGGTTCTCGTGGACTTATGCAACAAAGTTCAATTTAACTTGGTCCCTCAAAGTTTCAAGAAAACAATCGTCAAGTCTACGCACAGAGTTCGGTTGTATAAGCACTCAAATATTTTCACTGATAAGGCGTCTTTCTGCTGATATAAATTGCTTTGAGTATATTTGTACCTGTTGACCCACCATTACTCTGTTACATTCTCACAGGCGAAAAGCAGATTTCTTAGCGATACGCTGAACATCCACAATAAACTATCGGAAACTAAGAGGCTATGAATAAAAATTCGGCGACAAATTTCACTCCCAGGTAACTACCTGATATATGCAAAAAAGAATATTTTGTGCGTGGTCAAGCCGAATATCGAATATATGTACATATTACCTAAGGGCAAGAAAGATAGCGACAGAGTTGCGTTTAAGCAAACTAATTCGATAAAAGGGTATCGAACAGAATCGATAAAAATCGCACATCGAAATTACTTGCTAACCGTGCTCAAGTTTTGAGCTAGGAAAAAATGGAAAATTTTAGGTTGCAGGATGTCAGAGGCGATCGATCGAAATTTAGCGAAAATTGAGTAGGTCAAAAGCAAACTCAGGCTGAAAATATCTACAAGCTTGTTGAAAACTCCGTGAACCATTTAGGCTTGTGCAGCCCTCTTCGTTATAAAAGGAAAGCTGAAGAATTAAATAATTGATACGAGTACAGAAAACGGCGTCCATTGGATAAGAAGTTGTTGAAAGACTAGATGAGATGATGTAGATCTGTATCCAATAATGTGCCACATCTCTTTGGGCAATTTTGACATGCACAGCATTGTGGGAAGGCGAAAATGCGTCTTTCTACCAGCTATGATATTTCCATTGCAGACTGCGTGGGCGGAGCTTTTGGGCACCGGAGACTGAAAGCATGTTAATTCAATACACTTGTGCATAAGTAGAATTGGTCGCTTCTTCCTTTCTGAACTGATGCATAATGGGTTCACAATTGGGCCGAAGTACTTGACGCTTGGTGTAGTCATCGTGGTGTGATAGCTCTGACCGCGGGAAGTTTGCATGTGTGGAGTGGGGAGGTTGAAGTCTGTCGGCACCTATAGACCCGTGTTCATCATCTGAGGATTCGGCGTTTAAGTCATACACCGCATGTGAATATCCATTAATTGCATGAGTTTGTTGTGTATTCGGTTCGGTTACTGGTAATGCGTTCTTTTGCGTGTTGCAATGAAACCCCTTTTCGCTAAAATGATAGTTAAAGGATTCCTTTGAATTATAAAATCCGTTCATTAGGCGACATGGTGCAGGTGGTGGAGGAGACGCAGGAGGCGGTGGTATAGCGTGATCGTCCGCAAATGAATACACACTGTCAACAAGTAACTCATGGTTCTGGTTCCCTGATTCAACTACGGTTACTTGGCGTACACTGGAGGACGCATTGTTGACCGAGTCCGGCGAAGTATTGCGCCACTCCCTCGGCTTTTCATCACTTGGACGAGTGCTTGTCGATGCCGTGGATTCGGATTTGCTCTGTGTAGAAGGAGTTCCTTCAGTGTCTTTTGTAGAAGCTACATAAGCAGGTCTGGCTGGTGTCAATGAGCGGATGATGTGTTCGTTCGGGAACTCCATGACAAAAGATATTTGCGGGCTGGTGTTTGCCATTTGTGCATGGGTGCTGTTTGCGCGTTCAGAAAATACCCTATTACGAGTAACTTCAAGCTGCAGCATACCAACCCTGTTTGATGGGACATCGGTTATGCAACTGTCGCCTGAAGAGAATGATGATTGTTCAGAGCGATGTTCGTTTGGGCACGAACTGACTGGAATAGGACCAAATGGATGGAATTGCCCCTCTTCCCACCCCTGTTCTCCTCGAACTCGAGGTAACTGGTTGGAGTGTACGCTACTCTTAATAATGGAGGCTGTAGCATATGGGGTCACCGAAACAGTGTGCCCCGTGTTTTGCACCACGAAAGACGGGTGTTGCTGATCGATAACTGGTCCTTGTGGACTTCCCAATTGGGCCACGGGAGAAATTGGAGGAAGACAACTTGCCCCAACCACACCTAGCTTGGCGACTGAACAAAAGCCGCCAGGTCGCTCACCTACTGATGTGGGGTTCGAAAATTCCATAATGGATTGGGAAAGAGAGACAACTTGTGGTTGATATGTCAAGTAAGCATTGGGTGATTGTGTACAATAGGATGGGGTATACATTGGTACAGCAGTAGATGAGTGAATACCCAGCGGATGTGTAACGATGACGTGCGGAAACCCTGCCATCGTCGAGCGCAGCCGCTGAGAATTTGCGTTCAAAGAACCATTCATTGTGTAAACGGCAGGTGAAATATTTTCGGGATGAAAAGTGCGACTGACCTGCGACTCTCCATTTCTCGTGGGCCACTGATTGGGGGAAAATTCAACACCACTAGACACGGAATAAGTACAGTAAGCAGACTGATCTGGCGCCGATGAGAAAGGATCCGATCTGATGATGTTAACGCCGATACCTTGATTTGTCGTTATAACTGCTTCTCCGTGCGTTGAGGAAGGCTGCAGGAGCGACTCCACTTGTAAATGATCACGCTGTCTTTTGTAACGTCCAGTAGAGCGCATTGGCTCAGTCAAGCCGGAAGTATTAGCACTGATGGTTCCAGAGTCCCCAAGAACAGATCCGCAATGAGGTCCATTAGTAAGCATAACACTACCAGCCGCCTTCCGCAAGACGTAGCGTTGTCGCTTGCAGCAAAACGCAATCAGCCCCATCAGCGCTCCCCACAGTAGCAGACTGATAATCATCGTCACAATAAACCACGGTTGAACAGCAAAATGTTGTCCGTTGTTCTGTTTCTGGTGCACCATTGACAGCGACTGTCCATTGGTGTCGTCATAGCCCCAGCCGGAACCCAGCCCAATGGTTTTTAGCCGGGGATCCAAGCGAAGAGGTTTGCTTCGAATGCCCACTCCTTTGCAAGTCATTCCTGCCATCTGGATGAAATATGCGTTCGGACTAGTCAGCCCTCCGATACGTGTTTTTATTTCCATATAACTGACGTTGAAAGCTTGATGACTGTGAGCCAATTCATCATAAACATAGACAGCATATCCGGTCAGCAGTCCGTTCCAGTTAGTTGCCGGAGGTGCGACCCAATTGAGCTCCACACTATCGGTAGCTACCCATTTGGCTGAGATCTGCTCCGGCGGATGGCTAGGGAATGTTTCAAATGTTAACACAGAATTTGCTTTGCTCGCACGACCTTCAATTTTCCCCAAGACGGTATCAGTCAAGTGTGCCTTCACGCTGATCTCATAACACGTGAAGGGATCAAGGTCACGTAAGAGACCAGTACCCTCATAAACTGCTGGGTCAGAGATATCTAGCCGTAACTGCTGGAAAGATTCATGTAATCTGGCGTCCACATTCAATGTTTCCACTGATTGGGCTGAATCTTTGGATTTCAGCTGACGAAGCCTTTGTAACTCTTGAAATCGCGAATACAGTTCGTCCGGTGCATATCCGGGGCGACGTTGTAAACTGCAGTAGACGTCTGCTGTCTCTACTGACACCGATGAACTTTGTACTAAGTCCAGATCGTTAGCGACACAAGCAAGCAGACTAGCTTTCTTATAGTAGACCGTATATCCAGTGATAAGTGCGAGAACAGCAGTTTTCTCTTTTACTTCCCAGCTGACACGAAGACGTCTAGGAGTCAACGCGTACAGTTGCACACGTTGGATTTGCATACTACGAATCGCACTTAGTAACTGCGCATCGATAACTTGGTGATGAAATGATTGGGCTTCAGGTAGAGTGCCAATTGGTCCAAGTGGAGCACTCGCCCATCCGACACGACCGTAACTCCAGCGAGGGCGGATCAGAAAGTAATAAGCAGTATTTGGAAGCAAGCCGCCGATTTTGACCACATTTGCCATCCAATTTTTTTCTACCGTCATCCATCCAGAGTATGGTTGATCAGCACGATAAAACTGGACCCAATACGCAATACGACGATGCGGATCGTGCAACTGATTAGATTCGTCGGCTGACACGGGATCCCAGGCCAAAGTAAGTGTAGTATCTGTGCGGTTTGTAACTTGAAGGTTTCGGGGAGGCGACAATGGGTTCTCTTGACTATCGTCTGATGGGATAGGAGTTCCTCTAGGGACCACCTTCAAATGGGCTGTCCAATTTGACTGAATGATTTGCGCTACTTCGAATTCATGCCCCCGCACTAGCGCTTTGGCAGTACAAGTGTAAAACCCAGAGTCTTCTTCGATAATGTCTACAATTTGTAGACTCCCACCAGGGAGGAGATTGAAACGATGCTCATCTGCGTAACCGGAGAAGTCCAAATCTTCTGCAACCCCACCTGTGCCCACGGTCGCCCTCGCCCAGCTGACAGTCCAATCGGAAGTTGTCGAAAGAGGGTAATACTCAAGAGTGCCTTGAGTGTTCAGTCCAGCGCTTGTCCTGCTCACACCCAACTCACAGTCTAATGTCGCCAACTCCCCCACCGTGCGCGTTTGGTTCACTGGGGGAAGACTGATAACCGGGACAAGCAAATAGTGTGAGGGTGACCAGCCTCTCACCGCTGGTTCATATTTTCCAGATATTGGTCTGTTAGTTCTTTCAGTTGCTCCTGGAATAACGTGCAGCGTAGCGGTTGAATGAATGCGATCGACAGATGAGTGCGCTGTGCATTGGTACTTGCCAGCATCACTGAGCTGAACATTTCGTATATCCAAACGACCATTTTTGTGCACATAAAAGCGGATCGGACTGTGCATTGCAGTACCACTCTCCGTTGGGAATATAGGTGTCTTATCTGCCAGCTCCCAATAGATGGATGGTTTTGGATAACCTGTAGTGATGCACTCGAAAGTCGCGGTCTCACCCTCCCTAACGGTCAAATCATCAGGCGTACGGGAGAAAGCTGGTGGTGTCTCCACTGTCAGAACAGCACTTGTCGTAACGGAGCCCGGTGCAGAACAGACGTAGGTTCCACTGTCAGAAAGTTGTACGTTCTTCAGTAAAAGGTATCCCTCGGCCAGTTCCACTCTTGTGGGATCAATCATTCCCTTCCCATAATCTTTGCTCCATTGTACCATGTGATTGCCTTCTGTTAAACACTTGAACTTCACACTCATTCCCTGCCTTACTCGAGTGTCTTTAGGAGTTTCGATAAACTGAACACGTGGTTCAACTGTGAGGCGAACTGTGGGTGATTGAACGCGGCCGGCTATATTACTAGCAACACAAGTGTAAATGCCGGTCTGAGCTCTCCCAACAGCGTACAACTTCAGGCTCCCATGCTGAGTCACTTGGGCTTGGGACTGTCCGTTCTGAGTGGTCGCATTAGCTAATTCTTGAGTAGCAATCACCTTGTCTTGTTTCAGCCACACTACCTTCGGCTGAGGTACACCTTTTGGTGGACGACACTCAAGCACAACATTGTCCCCCTCGTGCACTATCTGGTCCGTAGGGAGTTGGACAAATTTTGACTCTAAATAAGCAAGACCACCTTTTACAGGGGGATGGCTAACTGTCCATCCGACACTATTGGACGCGTTACAGTAAAATGTATAAATCATGTTTTTTGTAGGGTTAGATACCATCAAGCGGCCGTAATGCTGATTCACATGTATTCCTGAGGTGGATCCGCTTGTGGGCACTCGATCAACAACTTGTTGCTGATTGGTTGCGTCGTACCAATGAATTACCGGTTTCGGCACACCTTCCGCTTGGCACACAAACTCCAAAACCCCTTCAGCTGAGAATGTGTCTGAGGGTGGAACAAAAATACGTGGTTTTGTTGGGCCTTCCACTGACGATGTGGCAGGAATGGGGCTCATGAAGATCGTGAGAAGGGCAAAGATGACACCACACGAGTGTTCTCCAAGTGACATCACGATGACAAACCTTGATTGATAGATGGGTGTGAGCTGTTGGACAAGAGAAAGGGAGGCAAGGGTTACATCTCTATTGTATCAGTGTGTGGTTCAGAATGTATTGTCCAAAACAGCACACTGCCTATCGCCCAGCTGATCTGAGCGTATGATTCTCAGGGCACCGAATTAATGCAGTGCATGGATGCCTGAACAGAAATCAGCACAACACCCACTCACAACTATTTACTGGCAGTTTATTTGCCTAAATACTAATACACAAGTTCATAAAACTCGTATACAACTGACAGTGGAAGGTATCTAACATCCAAAACTGCTGCAATACTTGCAACTCGCAGCAGGTGCTGTGTTAAAATTTAAAGCAGAGGGCAAACCTACTTGTTCTTAGTCTTGATAAGGTGGTCTCCGTAAAAGCTAACAAGTAACGTGATACCGGCGTATAACCTTTAAAGAGGAAGTATAATAAAAGTCGTGAACAACAGAAGATGAGAACAGGATGACTTATTATTATAAGAAATTCGGCCTAGCTGTGCCGGTCCATTTAGGTACAGGCGTAGTACTAGCGGGGCACATTTACCAAATAGTTCATAGGGCAGGTCTCTGGATATTCTTCAAATAATTATAAAATAAGTTATGTGCCAATTTGTAGTCTTAAAGTGGCAACGATTACTGACACGATAATTTCAGTGTTCAACTAAAACTGATAACCTATTTGAGCATGATACATCCAAGTAGGGATTGTCAAGCTGCCAGTATCACCTACCAAGCATTGGCATACTACTTTAGGATTTGGGCTAACAGGCTAAAGAAATGCTGGCAGTTTTTGATCGACCTGGGTTACCTCATGTTCTAGTCGTACGGATCAGTGCTTGTCAGATAGATATCCTAAGGGCTACTAATTCATCGTCAGAGTGTTCAGGCATACAAAGTATATGTATATAGTATAATCTCTGTAAGTTGAGTATTCAAGTGACTTGACCAAAGCGATCAACATGCACAGGCGGTCACATACAGAGGTGTCAATACATAAGGTTTATATAGTGAACCTATTGACATAGACAGATGATTAGAATGTACCTGCGGTTAGCTTAGAAGATTATGCTAGAAATAACTGCATTTTAGCTATGGGCTCTACTAAACAAGAAAACTGGCTTTCAGAAGTCGGCGAAATTTTGATAGCATTTGCAGAATCTTTTACAAAACCAGCGAAACAAAGCACACTTTTTGGTCTCGGTCTACCAAGTATCGTTGTATGAAGAATTTTATGCCATTAAACTTAAGCACTACACCAGGACCTATTTTAAAATTTGTGTTGCAGTGACAGTAATTGCACTGAGTGTGGATTTGTAATAAAGTGCCTTGGTTGAAAACTTGCGGAACCGGTAAGAACGATTAAAAGTAATAAACTTAATTTTATTTCACGAGATGATATGCGCGACGTTGAACGACATATAATTACCAACCCCTCAATCATCATAAACGTAATTACACGTTAGCTGAAGGTGAGTAACACACTTCCACTATTGGTCCGCAATATAAGAAAATATACAAAAATCGAGATTTTAACTTCCTAGAGCACGAAAAGGCCAAGAAAGTGCGTAGTAACATATTCTGTTTCAAGACTGAGATCTTGGTTGGAGGAGGAATATAAGCAGGATGAGGAGGGACAAGGAAACTCGCAAGAAAACGCCGCTTAGGTCGCTTTCTTGTCATGTCAACAAGCGCATCAAACTAGACGTGTTCAGCGTCCTTCGCTCGGCAGCCCGGCAGACATCAACCTACCCCAAGTTAGAATTGAGACTTTCCATACCCCTTGATCAAGTCATCGCTTAGCATCCCCTCCGCTTGTTTCATCCACACCCTCGGCGCGCAATTAGCAGACGTCGCAGGACTTGGTATGCTGGCATGCACAACAAATAACCAAACCATCGGATCCCGCTTCATGATATAATGGTGCTGAGCGGTTCACTCGCTCTTGCTGCACCACATACAGGACGATTAAGCGGCACATTGCTCATGCTGTGCTCCCACCAGACATGAGCTAAGCTAAGTTGGCGATGATCGAAGGTAGCTTGACGGGCCAGGTTTTGCGACCGTACAGGAGGGTTGAAAGGACGACTACACCGTAAGCTCTACCTTAGAGGACAATAATGATGTCGCGTCGGCTCCACAGGTGGCGGAGCTTGGCAAAATCCACCGCAGGTTTTTGCTATACGGTTCGTTAGCATATTTTCGGTCCCATGGGCGCTAATACAACTGCCTAAGTTGTTGAATTTCGAACAAATATTATCTGATCACTACCAGGGATCAGCGCAAGGGTAGGTCACTTCCAATCTTGGTGAAGGAGTTTGCATTTCGAGGGAGCAAAGCATAACCCGAAATGACTGGTAGCAATGCTAATCGGTCCACTGCTACTTTGCACACTTGAGAGCTCCAAGGTAATGGCAATGCCGTCTGCTAACCCGTAACCAAAACCTCGATCACCTGAGGAAAGCTCCACACCTTCTAAGTCGTGAACATTGAACGCAATCTCCGTGACTTCGTTAATAGCATAGTTGGAAAAGAAACGTGACAACGGGCATGCTTGTCTTACACCGCTAGAGATATTGAAGGGAGGTGGAAGGTTGCCGAAAGTCCTCAATTAGCCCGAACTACCGCAGAAAGCTCTCTGACAAGGTTTACCTACTTTTCAGGTGCATCTGTCCTGAACAGACAGTCCCGAAAAACCCATCGATCAACCGAATCGAAGGCACGTTTGATGTCCAGGCACACGACTACAGTGGCTCTCCGATGGATATCGTGTTAGGGGATATGCAGTCTGATTTTGATAAAAATTTGGATTTACTTACACGCAGCACGTAGGAAACTACTACGATCTGAAAGAATAGCCATTTTGATATCGAAATGGGAAAGTTAACTAACTTTTGCCGTGGATATCCTCCGGTACGCGGTAATCATGGATTGCGTTGCAGCCTAATTGATAAGACACTTGAAGGGTCATGAGACGTGTGAATATGTTAAAAGCACATTTTGCTTGCGTAAACACAAAAATGTAACTTTTTGTTAAACTGAAATTTCTAAGGCAACATTTTTACTTCCAGCGGAGATTTTATGAAATCGGGTCAAATACAAACATTATTCGATTGCATTCTGCACGAAGTAGCATTTCATCGTCCAGCACTTTGATCTGCCTAACGAAAAGCGTTCTCATAAAATTTTCAGAAACAATTCCTAAGTTGGTGAACTAATACTTACGGAAAGACGGCTGAAAACACGAAAGTGGGACGAAATTTAATCAGAAACTGATCGGTGGCAGCAGAACCTCATACGTTTAATTACTGAGAGAGCAAACGAACTGTTATGATATTCACCTTGAATGCAAGGGCACGCATTCTGTCTACAAAAATTGAGATGAAGCAAATACCATGACGAATAATCTAATGTAGACGTGTTCTGTGATCAAAACTAGGACAAAATGGGATCTAACTTGCTCTCACGTCAGCGCCATTTCCTTATTAGTAAATGAACCAACAGCTGATGTTCCATTTTCCCAGACAGCAAACTACAAAAGTCCGAGCTCTTGAGAATGGATAATCCATTCGCTGCACCAAAAGCAAGCAACTTACTGGGAACATTGTATTCGGCAAAAGTTTCTTTGATTATTCTGTTATCAGCCGCTTTTGGACCGGTAAAGTTGGAATGCCTCGTTCAATTAATTACGTTGTATGTCAAGCCAATTAATGCGAAGGTCCCCGCGGCCGATGAATGAGGAGTGCTTACATGTTATTAGAAACATGCTTGAGTGAAATATCGCATTGTACATCTAGGTATTGCTACAGGGACAGACATGCTGTTGTGCGTCTACGATGTCTGTTTAAGCAAAACAGATTTCAGAGTAGAGATACGGGGATTTGGTTTACTCCAGCCGATTTCCTGGGTTGTCTACAGTAAATACTTCAGATCTTTGTGAGTCAGTGACTAACTTTAAAGTACAATAACGTGCGTGTGACAGTTATTTCTTAAGAAGGATGTATCTATTTTAAGGGTAAGAGAAACCTAAATCTATCACCAGGGCTCAACGAAACTCCAGGCTAGAAATAACTACTAAGACAGGCTAAAATGATTCTATACTTTCAAATGATATGCACCTACTGATTCGGTTGCCTGTGTGGACCGACATGTAGCAACCGGTAACAAATACCCCTAGTACTGCACATTGCGTTGGCAGTTACTACAAAACACCGAACTCCTCAGCAGCATGAAATAAAAGCATAGAACAGTGCGAGGTACACTCTGAAAATCACATCAACTTATTCCACACATTACTAGTTCAACCCCATGCATAGGTGTCACCTACATGTAACCGCGTTAGCGATCATTCAACAGAATTTGTCTCACACCACTAGTCATCTCAAGCATAGCTATTTTCACACGATGAGTTGCATTCTCGTCAGAGCTTTACCGCAAATATGTGTGTTGCACTCCGTGACGGTCTTTCAAGTAGTGACCCTTGAAATAACATTTTTATACTGTGTGAAGTTGTCATTGTATACTTCCTCCACTCAGTCTACATGTGGTACTCAAACGCAGTTGGGATTACCTTTTGGCCTGTATTCTGAAACACTAACAAAATCTCGAGGATATATCCCAAGATCGGAAGGTATTTGTGTGTTGCTGTGACGTTGGGTGGCAGTTAGTTTTACAGTTTATGTTATTTTTCCTGTTTCATCTTGATTACACATGAATAGTAAACAGCCCACGTCGTTGACAACCGATAGTGACCTGGCTGTAAAGATTTCTTGCCTAGGCAAATGTCTGAAGGAGTTGGATTACTCTTTTAGGACCTCAACTGCGCTCTACTTGGAGAATAATTACCAACCGCATCGAAATTTGCAAGTGAGTTCCTGCTTTCAACATTCCTGAGAACCCCACTTACGATAAAAATTGAAGGGAATTTGTGAAATCCGCAGTGAGTAGGGGTTTTCAATTATACAATAATTCCGTACAAGTCACATGTTTGATGAACAAACTTGCCTTAGCAAAATTTAGGAAAGAAAACGCCCAAACTAATGGTGTACTTAAAAGCGAGCATTTTCCCTATCCAATTCGGGGCGAGTATGGAGGAGAAAGTGGCCACAACTTGGTGTTTCTGCCAGTTATAGTGACCAAGAAAGATACTTGTACTCTCGTTGGAATCCCCACTTCCGGAACTTGCTTGACATTTTATCCCACAGCAGTATGCGAACAACATTCCTGTATGTTTGCTAAGTGTCCAGTCTCCCTACCAGTCATCCAGCTAAATGGACGACAGCTGGAACAATGGGAGAAAGGAACATTGAAGCAGCCTTTACACTCACTCAATGATCGATGACTGGGGACTGAGGCGGAGACAGCAGTCTATCCACTCTGCTGCTTGTGAGTAACTGTGTAAGCATAGTGGCGTACTCGGAGACCGTAAGGATAAATGCCACATTAGAAAACGGTCTGCGATCACCAAGAATTAGCAAGATTAGTAAATGAATGCGGTCTCATTTGTAATGCGGCTTGTTGCTTTACCGAATTCGTGCAAAGGGTGCTTGGTGTTGGCTTGTCAGAAAAATCCCACTTATGGAGAGGAATGCCTCTGTATTGGTTGGTAAAATTTGCCAACAGATAAGTACAGCCATATATTTAGAAAATGAATTATTAGTCGACTGGTAACAGACTGGATGTGTCTGATTTCCCTGAGGAAGCAAAGTATCTCGCAGCAAATATGTGTACTGAATTAACTAACTTGTCCCTGTGCATATTGCAATGCTGCTTTGTTGGGTTAGACTAGTCAAAATGACAAGCGCCTCTGGTCTGAAAAACGGCAATTGATCAACGGTGCATAAAGCAGAGTTTCAAGCATGCATAAAAAAGTTGTTTTGTTTTTATGAGACATAAAATATGGTCTTCAATTGAACACACTGTTTGTCGGTCAATTTAGCAGATTGCCTTAGGCAACCAGTGATTGCAGCTTTCATGCAACATCACGTATGTCTCGAGAATCGGGCAGAATGTTTATAACATGAGGGTAGATGGGGCAGCATTCGCCTGGAACATTAATCAGGATAACTGTTAGTACACAAGCATTCAGACGTAAGGGGTGTTGATCAAAGTGTTCTGCTTACGTTTCTTCTCGGGTTTGATATCAAGTAACGCCATAGGATTACTCTGTGCTGTTCACCACAGTAATATGCAATTCATTGAAGAGCGATCATCGCCATATAAAATTTAGTAACTTAGTGGTGCCGGTCTTTGCCGCCACACGTAACCCAGTGGCCTTAACCACGCAGTGATAAGAGTCGGCTTAATGGTCCTAACCTCAAAGGGGATAGGACGATTCCCGAAAGGAAGAATCGGCTGTCTGAGACAACATATGCGGCATAACAAATTGAAGGCTTGGTGAACATACATGTCAGTTCTGGATGACACCTTACAATTCAATACGACATGTTGATGACGTCAAATTTGGGTGTAGGTGTAGCTTTCCAGATAAGACCAGTTGACCTTGCATCTGAGTGTATGGTCAGGAAGGATAAGATGTTATTTGTCAGGGACTCCCATATCTTCGGCATGCTACACCAGTACGTCATATACAAGTGAAGCAAACATTGGTAAAATGGATGTTCAACATCATGTTCGACAACGAACGATTTACTCCGATTATTTCTTTAGTTTCAACAATCGGAAAATCAAGAAAATCAACAGTCAAAGATTAACCGAATAAAGAAAGTTCGCTTCCGTCCACCGGACGTCATTCCAATTTTTGATCGTCAACAATGCAACGATAGCTCAACTTCCCATCGAAAACCTGAAAAGCATAGCGTTGCGATAGAAGTGATCCGGTTTGGTGTTAAGACTTCAGCGGTTATGTTTTGTAATAAATCAGGTAGTGTTTTTGCTTCCATTCCTAAATCAAGTGTCGTAGTGATGTCAGTTCCCTGTGGTAGAATCACACCGGGGGTTGACAGTGAACACGACCTTTGGAGACGAACTTGTGTGTAAGAACCACCGACTCGTGTTAAACAAAACTCACTGTCATTGGCACACAGACACTACCGCAACATCGACCACAGAAGGTTCGGTTGCTTTTCAGTGGTCGGAGGCTTGGTGACACAAGACAGAAGGCGGTCGTATTCACTGTGCGTGCATGCGCTCAAGCCGATGTGTTAACCATTACCAAATTAGTGCGCGCCCTTCCCACACATGCGAACAATTAATAGCTTACCCTGGTGGTGCGCGCGCTAACTTGCGGGTTTGAACAAAGCCAACAGCCGCATCCGCTTGAAGTTGACTGCACAAAAGGCGGCTGGCGCATTCGCAGTGACATGGGAACAGGACCCGACCGTCAAGAGTTGGACAGAGAATCAAGCTAAACCAGCGCATCAGCTGTGATCATTTCGTCAACCGACAATGCACCGCTAGCAGTCGCCTGAGCGGTAGAGCCATGTACGGCAGCAACAGATGCTGTAACTTTACCAACGAAGCGTTATCTTATGGCGTGTGCAATATTACATGAGCGCACGTAGCTCTGTAGACACTTGACAACGAACATGTGCAACTGCGGAAAACGTGTACCCTCCCCACCGATTACAGAACATATCGGCGTTCGTAGGGCATGCCAGCTCGCGACACGCCCAGCAACCTGTGGTAACACCGGATAAGTTTTCGAATGAAGATGGACAAGGTTCAGTAGTGATTTACACTTGAAACAATGAGTAGAAGAGGAACCATGTTTCTTAAACCGCAATCTCGCTGTCAATCCAGTGCCTATGTGCAGAAAGCAGTGTGCATTATGTAACACAGATTCGGACTGATTAGACAGTCAATAAAAGCTTGGACCTTCCGAAGTTTCTTGGTGCTGGCAATGTACGCCTGGTTTTCTTTTTGCATAGAAATGTACCGTGAAATGATAAAACACTTGTAACTGTTCG